ACCCGGGTTAGTGGTGGCCTTGGCACTGCTGGGATGATGTTGAACTTGATGAGTTTAAAGTACTTTTCCAACCCAGCTGATTCTGTGACTCCATCTGTACAACCAGTGCACAGGAAAAGCAGTAAGAAAACTGAGGACTAAATACATGTGTTCTCACTTGGAAACCCTCAAGGTGTCATTGTTGTTCTGTGTCTGAACGTGCTCCAAGCACATGAAATACAACTGCAAACCTCAGTCACAGCTCCCAGACTGTACAACACACTGAAATCAGTGTTTGTGACACAGCTTCCCTTTCTTCTGTCTGCATTTGGGGGTTGGACTAGATGAGCTTTGAAGGTCTCTTCCAACCCAAACCTATGATTCTATGATTTGAAAGCTCCCCTCTCTAGGGCCTATAACCTAGAGATGGCCAAACTGCTCTGGTGCACAGTGGTAAGAGGGGAAAAAGCAAACCCATTTCGGTCGTTGAAAAGACACCAGCCAGAGAATGAGTGCACTTCAAAACCAGAGCACGTCATCCCATGGAGACACTAAGCTGGGTGTTTTAAACCCGGTATCAGAGCAGCCATCGAGGCCAAGATGGGACTTTCAGCTCCCTGCTCCACAAGAGGCTGTGGTGGGTCTCACAGAACATTTCTATCCCTGAAAGCAGGAACTCCATCTCCCACGAGCAGGGAGAAGCTCAGGGACACGGCAGTCGCTGGGCACTGGTGTGTTGCCTGCTGCCAGCCTCGCTCTGTCCATGCCCATGGGACTGGGACAACAGAATATAACCACTGCATGTGGGGATGGATCCTCTTCCTTCTGTCCTCGACCTGAGCAGCAGTTTTAGGCCTCAAGCTCTACACCAAACGTGCTGCAGGTGTCACCTACAGGGTCTTCCCCTGCTGGAGAGTCCCCAACTATTATGTGCTACTTTAATATCCATTCATTAGAGCTCACACAACCCCCCTGGCAAAGGGGCCACCTGAGTGATCGCTTGGCACAGTAACAACCACCTCCTGCCCACCCGCGCCCTGCTCATGTTCTAGATCTTACCTTCATCATCTCTTTGGACAACTCCCTCATCGTCGCTTGGATTTCAGGGATTTTTACTAGATTTTGCATAGCTTTCATGACTTCTGTGCTCTTCTGCAATGAACCTGCTACTCTCAGGACCGCTGTGAAGGGAGAGGGTTAGGAAAGCTTCAATGATCCACGCACCAGAAAGCAGAGAAATTACATCCTCCCTACATGGACAGAAATTGGTTTAAATTGGGCAATTCAGTTCAAAAAGGAAACTTGCATCCCACTTCTTCATAGGGATTCTCCCTCCCCCGCTCTGCTCTCACAAGAACCCCCCTTGCAGTTCTGGGTCCTGCTCTGGGGCAACAGCACAACAACATCGACCTGGTGCAGCGAGTCCAGAGGAGACCATGAAGATGCTGTGAGGGCTGGAGCAGCTCTGCTCTGGAGCCAGGCTGAGAGAGCTGGGCTGGGGCAGCTGGAGAAGAGAAGGCTCCTGAAGGGGACACCTTAGAGCAGCTCCAGGGCCTAAAGGGGCTCCAGGAGACCTGGAGAGGGGCTTTGGTCAAGGGATGTAGGGACAGGACAAGGGGAATGGCTTTAACCTGCCAGAGGGGAGACTGAGATGAACTCTTGGGCAGAAGTTCTTCCCTGTGAGGGTGCTGAGGTGCTGGCACAGGGTGCCCAGAGAAGCTGTGGCTGGCCCATCCCTGGGCGTGTTCAAGGCCAGGTTGGACACAGGGGAAGGTGTCCCAGCCCGTGGCAGGGGTTGGAGCTGGAGGAGCTTTTCCAATCCAAACCAGGCTGGGATTCTTCATTCGTGTCTGTCTTCCTGGAAAACTCAACTTGTACCCACATCAGAAAAAACTACATTGATAGCAAAGATCCTGGTCCTGTACAATTAGCTGGAGCATCCAGGTTGGCTGCAGAGATTTGCACCCAGACCATGAGAGAGTGATCCCTGAAGAGCTCCTGCCCACATCCCTCAGAGGCAGAGGTCTTGCTGGGGTTTCACCTTCTGCCCAGCACCTGGCAGTGGGAACTAACTCTGCCAGAATCATAGACTGGTTTGGCTTGGGAAGGACCCTAAGATCATCCAGTTCCAACCCCCTGCCATGGGCAGGGACACCTCACACTAGACCATGTCACCCAAGGCTCTGTCCAACCTGGCCTTGAGCACTGCCAGGGATGGAGCATTCACCACTTCTCTGGGCAGCCTGTTCCAGTGCCTCAGCACCCTCACAGTAATGAACTTCTTCCTTGTATCCAACCTGAACTTCCCCTGTTTCAGTTTAAACAAGTTCTGTTTAAGTTTAAAGAAGTTCTAGTGCAACAGTTTCCTTGCAAGAAGCCAGGAAAAGAACACTAAGCTGGAAACGTGTGTAGTTTAAACTGACTTTAACAACACTATACTCTCATAATACAGCTTATAAACCCTCCTCATGTATGTTGATACGCCAAGATCAAAATGCAATAACTAAGGGTATTGTGAGGTTCCTGCCATCTAACTTGGCAGCTTCCTGCTCGCAGAGAACTTACCTGTTTGCATATAAAATGGGCACTCCTTCATGAAGCAAAATGAAGGTACAGCACATATTACTTTTCATTTTAACACTTCAAGAGCCTGACACTTGTAATGTTAACAGACTGACAGAAGTCTTGCCTCTAATGGTCATTTCCCCAAGACGAAGCCAGTTAATACAACCCCCAGATTCTTTTCCAAGGGTATCAGATTCCCAGCAGGATGAAGATGCTGCTGGTGGTGGTGGTAAGGAGGAGGCTGCTGTGTTTCCTTTTAAAGGGCACCTCAAGGGTGGCCACTGCCTCCCTATCCTGAATCAAGGGACATGGGGAGCCACATTTGACCTACCATAAGATTACACCCAAGGTTCACACTGAGACCTCTCAGTTATCACTCATCTAAGTGCTGCATGTGCCTGCTGGGAGCAAGTGCTGGATATGGGGACACAGGACTGCAGCCACCTCACACCTCTGGGACTGCTGTGGGAGGAGTCTCCCTGGCTCCTGAAGCCCACTGGAACCAGCTGCCTTTCCCAAGAGCAGCACTGCTTCCAAATCCAGGCTCTGCCTGCACTTGACCTTGACTCACACCTCAACTTCTAACGCTGGAGGCTCAGAAGTTGTTCTTACCGAGCTGGTTCTTCATCCCCATGAGAACAGAGTTCATGTGAGCTTTGGATGCATAGAGTTTGCTTACGGCCTTTCGGGAGCGGATCAGTTCCTTGGCCAGGATCACACACACATCTTTCTGACCCTTCTTGGCAGCATCCTTTATTGACCGCTTCACCTTCTCCTCTTCCCTCTGGATATCTGGAGTAAAGAGAAAACACAGCAGAGAGTGACTCGCTGCTGAAGGACGTGGAAGAGAATCCAGGCAGTTGTTGGGGGTATTTTCAGTGCAAAGAATCATTTCTGCTTGATTTCAGACGCCCTCTGTTGCTCAAAGACCTTGTTCTAAGTTGATTTACATGTTAGCTGATTAATCCAACTGAATATTAATAGGAGAGTTCTGACTACGAGACATCCAGCTCTGTAATTCCCTTTGGAGCTAAGAGAAAAGGACTCTCCAGGAATATTCCTGCATCGAGCTGAGCTAAGATGAATCCTTAAGGTCCAGCAAGAACCAAGCAATTACTTGACTTACAACTTCAGAAGAACTTCCTGTTAAACTGGCCTGATATGTAGGAGTATAAATACGTACACAGATACAGAATATATACACACACAGTTTAAGACTGATTTGCTGCTTACAAGGTTACCTCACTGACAGTCCCACTCCACCAGAAGGAACAAAGCTGTCACAAGCAGTTTCAAACCCAGTCTCAGAAGCCAGGCAGGCATCCCACCAGCAAACATACCTACCTGTCAGACCACAGCAAAGCTTAACCCATATGCCCACCTTCAAGGGAATTGAGGGCTGTTGCTGTCGCTTTCTAAAGCCCTGAGCTGTGTTCTGCTTATAGAACACATTCAGAAAGGCTGTAGAAGGCTGATCTCACAGACTTAGAAAGCTTTAGATGTACATTGCCTTCAAATAACAGCATAACCACTTGTACAGTGAATATATAAGTTATTTAGAACCACAGATTTGTGGTTCTAAGTAACTCTTAACTACTGCCAAAAAAGCCTTCACCTTTGCAGATAGACTTATTTAGTCCCTCTGTCAGGCACAACTGGACAGCCGACCAAGTCTATACTTGTACTTCAGGAGTTAAGGTCTTGGGTTTCTGCTGCTCACACTTGAAACGCACGTGCATTAGGTGTTTGTATGAACTGGCACGTTCAGACTGCGAGCTGGCTGGCACCAAAGCCAGGGCTGATTCATCAGCAACACTAGTGTGCTGGTAAATTGTCAGGTACAACTTCAAATGACCTGTTCAAGAACTCTCCTGGTATCCAGCTTCATTCAACAGCTGTTACAAGAGATGCTGCAGCAGGAAAGCCTGTACTACGTGAGCACCAAATAACTGGATCTGAAATATCACGCAATAAATAAGGTGGTTTGTGCAGCAAAGCTGCTCATACCTGTCTTGTCAGGTAACACTGGCTGTGTGCAGCAGAAGCTCAGAGTAAGGAATGCAGGGGCTGTATCGATCCCCTTCCTTCTCCAGAATCAGCAAGAAACCAGCCACTGATGGAATGGGGACCCAAAAATCCACCAAAAAATTACCCTGAAGTAAATAAAGAATTCAGACAGTAAAGGGTCAGGCTCACCTTCCTGCAAAGAGCTGAAGGAAACGACCACAAGAACAATTATTTCTAGCAAGGGCTTTGTTCAAATTTAGGGGGTTTGAGTCTCCTTGGTTTATACCAGACAGAGATTACATGTAGGCAGGAATCAGAAGTTGCCCTTTCATGAGACAAAGGCATCAACACACACTTTTTGGCACAGGCCAACTTGGAGACTTCAATGCAGCTTCTCACATGGGAGTTAATGAGCCCTGTGCTCAAGGTGAGTCATTCTCTCAGTATCATCCATCTTTATCCTAAAGGACAGACAGAAATCTGTAGGATCACAATCAGGAAAACACACTCCTTGCTGCTTCCCCCCATTCCATTGAGGAATGTCCAAGGCTTGAAGAATTTTGTATGTCAGACACTGGAGTGAGCTGAGTCCCAGCACATCAGAGCGGGGGACAGAAAGCACCAGGAGTGCTCCAGCAGAACTGAGGAATTGCAACATTCCCTGTGTCAGGCTAAAACCAACCACAAGCATCGTGTCACTAGAACCAAACTAGCACAGGGTGGCTCCATACTCGGGTAAATGCTTTCACTTGCATGACAAACTGCACAAATATAGAATCACAGAGTCATAGAATGGTTTGGGTTGGAAAGGACCTTAAGATCATCTAGTTCCAACCCCCCTGCCATGAGCAGGGACACCACACACTAAACTATGTCACCCAAGGCTCTGTCCAGCCTGGCCTTGAACACCGCCAGGGATGGAGCATTCACAACTTCCTTGGGCAACCTGTTCCAGTGCCTCACCAAATATGCAACAAGCCTTTGAGGGTCAATGCCAGTTGCACACCTCTGGTGAGCCACAGTCCCTCTGCAGTGCTACCAACACAACAGGCACAAAGCAGAGCAAAGCACCTGCAAGAGGGACTTGCAAGCTCAGTAAAGCACAGTTACTGTCTGACTCCAACTGTATTAACTCAAAACATTCAGCTCTGAAGCCACACAATTATCTTTCATGTCTTCAAACCTTCCAAGCAGCCTACACCAAAGAGAAGTTACCACAGAGCAAGAGGCCAACAACAGATGGTTCAAAACAGCGTGTTTGCTCTCTTAGTAGCTGTGCTGATCAGCCAAGTGCTGGAGTGATCCCAGGTCATCCCAGGTGGATCCCAGTGTTGCTGTATCACAAGACCTCTAGCACAGCTTTCCCTGGGGAAACCGAAGTCTCAGGTCAACATCCTTACCCAAAGTGCAGTGATTTCCTGTGGAAGTCTCAACTGGAATGATAAAGCGTGGCATAGGCATTCCAACTGGAATGATAAAGCATGGCATAAGCATTCCAACTGGAATGATAAAGCATGGCAGAGTCTAACAAACAGCCACACAAACATCCCAAAGATATTCTGCTCTTTATTTTAATGGGAATTACCAGAATAGCAGATGGTGGTGGTTAGCCTAAGCAATTACATGCTGAAATGTATCTCTTTGAATTTAGCACTCCTAAATACATATACAGACATGTTTAGAGCTGTTATAATGATTAGATCTACATCCCCATCAACATACCAGAGTACCACATAACCCAGTATCCACACAGGCCATTACAAGTATTATGGCATGTGTAAAGCTGAGAGAAAACCACAATGTCAAGAAGCCATCTGTAGGGAGCACAGGGGTAGTTTGCTCCCAGGGAGGATGTGACCTCTAAAACATACTTTGCTAACAAGATCAGCCACATTCAGTTCCTCTGTGCCCGATACAGCCACATGAAGTGCCTTGGAGAATGTAAAACAACTCACAAGTGGAATGAACATCACTGTATGTTGGTGTTCCTGGAAGAGGAACCTTGTCCTCACCTGTAAAGTGAGGAACAAGACAGACTTCGCACTGCACAAGCACCTCTCTCCAACCAACTCGTACAAATCTACAAGTGGGACAATATAGAGACCCTGCCACTTTACTCCACAAGTGTGTGGCTGGGGATCAAGGAGGGAAGGGAGAATGTACTCCTTGAGGAGTCACTCAAACCAGGAATGTGCCTTATCATAGAATCACAGAATGGTTTGGGTTGGAAAGGACCTTGAGATCATCCAGTTCCAACCCCCTGCCATGGGCAGGGACACCTCACACTAGACCATGTCACCCAAGGCTCTGTCCAGCCTGGCCTTGAACACTGCCAGGGATGGAGCATTTACCACTTCTCTGGGCAACCCATTCCAGTGCCTCAGCACCCTCACAGTAAAGAACTTCTTCCTTAGATCTAATCTGAACTTCCCCTGTTTCAGTTTGAACCCATCACCCCCTGTCCTGTCCCTACAGTCCCTGATGAACAGTCCCTTCCCAGCACCCTTGTAGGCCCCAAATAATAACCAGATGCTGACACTAAACACCCTTTACCAGCACACCCCATGGACCAGTCCTGAGGGCAGGGTAGAAGACAAAAAGGGGAAAACAGAATCTAGCCCCAAAGCTGTTTTCAGGGATAGTGGGCACGGAAAAGTATTTTATTCCTTTTCCTCTCCCCTGTTTGGGATTTCCCCAAACTGACAGCAGCTACTTTTGTTCAGCATGTGCACTTCACCTGTGGAACTCTACATGTGGAATTACACACCACACCGGTACCAGTCATTAAATCCATGAGGGTGGAATTCTGGATAATAAATCCCATTTGAGAAGACGAATTAGACTTAAGAGGATTATGTCTCACTGGAAGCACACAATATTCAAGTTCTTTTGAACTTCACAGCGACGACAGTTTGTGGCACAGTCTGAGTCTGGCTCCAGGATCACACTCCTCCTCCTCCTCTATTCCAGATGCAATAGAGTACCCCAGGTTACAGCCTCCCCCAGTTCAAACAAAATCCCCTTGAAGGCAGACAGGGAAAGGAAAACATGAGACTAAGCACAAACCTCTGATCTGTCTATCAATCACCCTCATTTCTTTCCTTATCTTCAAGGACCATTCATTGACCTGAAAAAGAGGAAAAGAGGGTTACTTGAAATTCCAGCTTTAAAACTATGCTTTCATACCTTCATGGAGCTGAAACATTCAATATCAAAAGCAGCACTTGAAAATGCACCAGCTTTAAGTTATGAGTGATGTTTAAGTAGTCCATTATTCAAATAAACCCCCCAAATATTGCAGAGATACCACCAATTATTGCACCCACCAACATTCAGACAAAAGGAGGACAGGACCCGTGAGCTGGAGGCACTCACTGCCTGGCCATCCTCCCACATCCACAGTGACGTTGCTGTGCACAGGGAACTTGCCAAGAGGCATTTCAGCCTCAGGCAGAAATGTGGGCAGGGGATGACAGCACCAAGGGTGCCACTGCCCGTTTCAGTCAGAAGAAAGCCCAGGAGGTCACCAAGCCAACCTCCTACTCAAAGCAGGACCAAGTTCAGAGTTCAGACAGGTTATGTGGGGCCTCATCCGTTGAGTTTTGGTACAGTGTGAGCACAGAGACCTCGGAGCCACTCTCAGCATCTGTTCCAGCACTTCAGCACTCCTGTGGTGAACACCTTTGCTCATGCCCAATTCAGAATCCTCCTCTGGCCACTCCGTGGCTGTAGCCCCTTCCCTATCACTGGGCACAACCGATAAGAACGTGGCTGTTTCTTCACTACAGCCTCATTAGAGGCAGTGAAAGGCTTCAGATCTTTGCCCCTTCACCTTCCCTTCTCCAAGCTAAACGTACAGCAGGATGCACAGGTTGTGCCTCTGTAATGCACAGCCCCAGACACTTGTGATGAACACCATCCTCCCAGCACTGCATCACACCCAAGAGTCAGCCAGAAGCACTAAGCTGAAATAAACCACCTGGACCACAATGGAGGTAAACCTGCTTTTTAAGCTCAAACAATCCAGACCTGGCATTAAATGCATTGCAGACCCCCAGCTTTGCACAGGCTGCAACACATCACTAGCCCCTCACAAGGACTGCAGATGCTTGCTTTGTATCAGAAATAAACCCTGTCCCATCATGAGAGCATAGAAATGAACCCAGGGCAAATCACTACCCCAAAAATCTCAACCTCTTCCCATCACCAGCCCCTTCTTGTGGTGCTCAGATGCCGTCTCCAGCCCTCTCAGGGGCAGTGTCCTGTGCACAGCTGCTGGCAGACCCGAGGTAAGTGGTGCTGTTTCCTCATCATCCACTAAGCAGAAATTACTATTACTTCCTCCTTCCAAACCTGCAGTTAGATGCAGGAGGGAGGAAGTTCCTTACTGTTAATGGGTTTCTCAATCTCACTGCTACAGGCTGTGAAGTCGTCATGAAGACTGCAACACCCAGAGCGTGCTCCTGACAGCAGGGTGACCCTGGCATTTCTCCCTGGTTTCTAGTGCCTCTTGATGACGCACAGACACACTGTGCTACTGGAAAACACAAGCTTGTTGCTTATGGAAAGCAAAATAAAGCTCATCAGACACGAAACAAGGACTTATCAGTGCAGTATAACCACACTGAGCAGGTTAAACAGTTGTCTGCTGCTTTATCCCACCACTGAGAGCAGCTGCCCCCAAACCCCAGCTCTTGCTGTGGCATCTTCCAACACCACTTGTGAACGGAGGAGACTATAACCAACCTGTGTGGTGTATGACACAGGCAGAGAAGGGGAAGTACACCATCCAGTGTGTATGTCTCATCTAACAATAACACCCAATAACCTGCTCCCCTGGGACTCAGCTGATGCAGAGCAGCAGGGAGAACCTGTGAGAGGCTGAGAGAGCTGGGCTGGGGCAGCTGGAGAAGAGAAGGCTCCTGAAGGGGACACCTTAGAGCAGCTCCAGTGCCTAAAGGGGCTGCAGGGAACCTGGAGAGGGGCTTTGAACAAGGGATGTAGGGACAGGACAAGGGGAATGGCTTTAACCTGCCAGAGGGGAGACTGAGATGAGCTCTTGGGCAGAAGCTCTCCCCTGTGAGGGTGCTGAGGCGCTGGCACAGGGTGCCCAGAGAAGCTGGGGCTGCCCCATCCCTGGCAGTGTTCAAGGGCAGGTTGGACACAGGGGCTTGGAGCAACCTGCTCTAGTGGAAGGTGTCCCTGCCCGTGGCAGGGGTTGGAAGTGGAGGAGCTTTAAGCTCCCTTCTGTGCTGTAAGGTCCTTAAGGTCCCAAACCATGCTGTGGTTCTATGACACTGCAGCTCTTCTAAGCCTTCACCTTTGTTGTCTGTAATCCTTCTCCCTGTTGCTTTTTCAGTATGTCTAACATACTTAATCTCTCCCTACACCAAACCGCAGGGTTTTTATTAACACATCAGCAGTGATTTATGAAAGGCAACAGTGACACCCATCAGCATCTTGATTATTTCATGTCATTGTGCCATTAGAGACCTGTGGGTAGCAGCAAGGCTTACACAGTGTGTCCGCACACTCAAAACCACCCAAACAACTTAAGTCCCCGTATTTCAGCTACTCATAAAACACTCTTTGCCACAGGAGCTAGAAGCCCCCAAGGAAGCTGAAGAGCTGGAAGTTATGG